GGGGGGGTCCGGGGCGGGGAGGGCCTTTGGGGGCCCCCCGCCAGACCCGCTGGCCCCTAGCCCTGGGGTCCAACGCGCTAGCCACGCGTGGCTACTTGGCTGACACAGTCACTCACATTTTCAGAATGACGTGCCCAGTTCGCTCTGGCTGGACACCGCGGCCTCCCAGCCTGCCCGCAGGGGGGCCAGGGGGACCCAGTGCTGCTCTGCCCCCACCCACTGCGGTAGCTCCCGGGACTGGGTCAGGGTGGCTCTGGGGGGCCTGTCACAATCTGGATGTGTAGAACACGTCCGTGTGAACAAGAGATGGCTGTTCGCGCCTTGCCCTGACCGAGCACACTGCCGTGTGGGGGGGCAGCTTCGGTTGGAGGCGGGAGTGAAGGTTCTGGCTGGGAACGTGGGCTCTGGGGTGGAACCAAAGATGAAGGATTCAGGGTGCAGAAGGGGGTTCTGGGCAGAGGTGAAGAGTTGGAGTGCACGGGGGTGAGCACTTCAGGGTGTGGCTAGGGATTAGGGGTCCAGGAAGGGGCTCAGGACTAGGGCAGGAGAGGGGGGGGGGAGGAGGAGAGAAGAAAGAAGTGCCAGTTCTAGGAGGGAGTGTGTGTATGGGAGAGGTTGTTGGGCTGGTGCAAGAGATTAGGGGGGCAGGGTCTCAGTGGCACCATCGATCCCAGGAAGCAGGTCCCAGGTCCCTGTGGCCCCTAGGTACATAGGTGGACAAGGACACACTCTCCGCACACTACCCTGGAGTCCACAGGCACCTCCACAGTGGCTCCTACTGGTTGCAGTTCCTGGCTAATGGGATATGTGGAGTAAGCACTGGGGTAGGGGCAAGGGACAGAGCCTCCCTGTGGTGAGGGGTCACAGGGACCTGGCAGAAGCCATACAGGTAGAGAGCCATGGCAGGTAGGGAGCCTACCTTATCCCTGAGCTGTACCACTCACTGGACTTTTAATGGCTTGGTCAGTAGTGCTAACTGGAGTCACCAAAGTTTCTTCTGACTGTGTGTTCAGGGGGTTGGGGTGGAGGAGAAGAGAGGTGGGAACCAAAAACCTAAGGTGGAAGCATCACTTCCAACCAGTCCTCCCCATCAACTTCTGTTCTCTTTGCACATCCATGTCTTGACTGTAGCAGCAGGGTAGCTAAACGAGCTTCCTGCGATTTACTGCTTGAAACCTTACTGTCTTGGGCAGAAAATACTTTTTTAGATCCTTGATCAGTGTTCTTACTTTTACACCAAAGGGCACCTTTTCTCCAAACTCTCTTTTCTCACTCCACCACCAATCACAAGCAGCTGACTTACACAGCAGCCACCCACTTTCCCTCCTAAAAATGTACAGTCCAGAACAGTATTTGCTTTCAATTAATGCTATTGAAAATTTTGGTTGTGTAGTCTCCCTCTCCTTCTTAAACCCTGGAGAGCAGAGGAAAGGTCACTGGCCCCTGCATCCCTATTTAAGAGGGGTACTTCAGTACATACTTAAGTCCTAACGGGACTCTCCCTCATGCTTTCTGGAATCAATGCCCCAGTGAACTAGATGAAACTAGTCTAGTGTCTTTCTTAATGCAAGTTCATGAGAGATGGGTGTATAAAAACTGTAGCTCTAAGGATGACTATAACCATCCATTAGTAAATTTTACAAGACCACTATAGAGCTTGAACTTTAACCACTTTGTCCAAATGTAAATTGATAGCGGGAAGCTGTTACAGGTGTTCTCTCACTAACCATGTGTGCTCTCCCATCAGCACAATAACTGAACACAGATGTTGACTTTCTCTCACAGCACACACAAGTGGCTTTTTTTACCATTGGTTTGGATAACTACTGGTAGGAAAACCAGACAAACTCATAGTAATCCTTGTTTGTCCATATTTAATAATTCCACTTCAACCAAAACAGCAGCATTTCTGCCCATGCCCACTGTATGAAAACATGTCTCATGGCAGGGTTTGTTTAAAGTCTGTGATCTACCAGTGCCATTGCTATTTACATAACGAGTAGTAATTTTGAGCTTTCATCCTGATAGTGACACTACTTTGTGATTCAACCTCTGCCTACGATCTTCTTCTCCATCCTCTCGGTAGAATGCTGGATTTTTATCGATGGAATGAATGAGTAGTTGCACTGTGTTAGATAGTAATGCTATGGCATTGAAAGATTCAGGTTGCCTGACTCTGGATAGATTATCACCATATGCTGTTATCTTCATTCAATTCCACTGCCAACTTTCTCATCAGAAGATTATGCTAGCACACAGAGGAAACAGGTCAAATGGGCAGCAAACACTTCAGTTAGCCTTGTGCCAAGGACAGGATCAGAAAACAATTCAAGCAGGTCAATTTGTAATAATTTTAGTCTCCCCCTTTCAACTTTTAGGGACATTAACTGCTGCAGAGTAATATTTTCTGATGATCCTAAACATTTGTATTTTCATTCTGTAAAAATGCAAACAGGATGCTGAAAACTCCCCATGGTAATCAAAGGCATTCAAAGGTAGGAGATACTATTTCACATAACCCCTCTTCAAATCGAAGGAAGACCAACAGACAAATATAAATGCTTCATACTACAGGAACAGATACTCAGTTTGTATATAATAATAGTCTTTCATTAAAAAATACCATCTCTGTTGCATTCTGCAGCTAGATCCATACTTCATCCTTAGGGGAAAGAACAAGCACTGCGAAAGATGGTAGATATACGAGCTGGAACAAGAGGAAAGTAGAAAATACTTTCATCACAGGCACTGGCTCCATTTATATCCAAAATCATTCATGGCAATTAGAACAAACCCATTAGCGATTAAATGAATTCAACTCCTAAACAATGCATTTTAGAATATGAACATAAACTTATATGTATAAACAAACGTATGCAGACTTTTTCTGTTAAAGTTTTCACCTTAAATCCGTGTTTTTCAGGTGGGCAACAGATTAGACAAGGGAGGATATGGGAAGATGACAGTGCAACTAGGGGCATTTTCACTTCATCACCCTGATCTATGGGTGATGTAGCAGGCAATGCCTTGAAACCCAGCTGTCTTATCACCCTGTTCCCACAATCCCACCCCACAATACAGCTAGCTACAGGAGCAGTCCATGTAGCAAGCAGAGGAAGCACAACTGTGGTTTAAAGGGACTTTTACCAGTTACATGTGCTTACTAAAATACCTACTTATTTTTAAGACATATAAAAGGTCTTATATAATGGTACCAATTGCTTAGCTAAGCGATTAATGAGTCACTATCAACTTGAAATAATGATTACATCTAACAATTCTGTATTTACTGTTGTTACAATTCCAAAGATTAATATGATTTAACAAAAACTGTTCATACTTGGTTAGTTTCTATACATTGGGCATTTGGCAACATTTTGTATAAAGTTAGGTTCATTGTTTGAGAACAACATTCTCAGAGTTTTAGGGAAAATGGGCATTTGAGCAGTAATCGATGGAGCCATGTAGATTAGGCTGATCGGCAAAGGGAAATGAAGCCGCAATTTAAATAATCGCGGCTTCATTTAAATTTAAATGGCTGCTGTGCTGAGCCGACAAACAGCTGAGACCTCGTTATGCCTCGTAGGATGAGGTTTACGGGGAGGTCGATAAAGGGCTTTCATATCGGCAGGGGAACGTCCAGACTAGCACGCTGAGCTGACAAACAGCTGATCAGCTGTTTGTTGGCTCAGTGTGGCAGCCATTTAAATTTAAATGAAGCCGCGATTATTTAAATTGCGGCTTCATTTCCCTTTGCCGATCAGCCTAAACAGTGGAAGCAGAGCTGAAATGAAACGAAAAGAACCGTCAGCAAACAAATGTACTAAAAGGAGACAGGAGTAACTGGAAGCAGAGCTGAAATGAAACAAAAAGAACTGTCAGCAAACAAATGTACTAAAAGGAGACAGGAGGAGAAGTGTTCCTCTTAGGTCAACCCAAAGACCCTTCTGGAAGACTCCCCCCCGCCCCAGAAAAAAAAACGGTGAACCAGAAACCACATATTAAAAATGTGAAGGCATGCTATTTTAAGAGTTCAGTAGCTGAAAATTGGGGGAGGGAAAGGCTAATTAGTGAGTTTAAAAAAGAAAAGTTGATATCATCCCTTTAAAAATGCCCTGTAATTTCCGATAAAAACAGATGCTCCTTAGCATAGTGCATCTTTTGGAGTGAGGAAGTTTAAATCTAAATGTTACACAGTGTACAAATCAGCAGCATTCTTATTTTTATTAGCATTTTCTGCTCTTATGTTTTCTGACATTTCTTACCGTAACATAGTAGCTGGGAAGAGGAAAGACTCTCCACCTACCCACAAGTGGCACCGATCCATACAGGCAACCTACCATACCCACATACACCACCACAGTGAGCCATGCAACCTTTTTCTCAATTCATCAGTACACCTACAAAAATTGACACATAAGTCACATAAGGACATCAAGGATCAATTAATCCATAGGAATGTGTGTGCACATAAGGATGCAACTGTTTATTATTTGTCTGGTATATTTAGGCCTGGATTTTTACAACCATCTTTTAAAAATAAAGATACTACACTAGAAAACATGACAGAAAGAACAGAGAGAGGGTATGGATGGGTCAGCTCTGACTAAATGAACTGTGTAGTCCTAATAAAGGCAAAAAGTGACATATCTCCAAACCAAGTGCTGAAAAGCAGTTAATCAGTTCAGAGTCGTGGACTGCAGAAGGGCTTCAATGTAACCCATCAGTGTTAGAGAAAAGCCCAACTTGAGGTATTCCCAGAAAAGTCCAGCTAGTAATAACAAGGCCCAGGAACCTTCCAGGAACTTCACTTCCATATATATCCTTTGATTCATTATTTAATGGAAAACAGATTTTTTTTTCTTGTAACTTTAGAGGACAGGTGCAGAACCAGTCAGCACTTGGGATCATGGAGTGTCTTATGAGGCGATGCTTTCTTATTAGTGTTATGCTGGCCATCATTGGAGAAAGGGGCTGTGGACCAGCCTTCTGTGCATAGGGTGGGGCAATTTCTCTAGCAGTACTGAGTAGGTCTCATTCAGGTAACCAAAATCAACCACAATGACCACAACCATGGAACCTTAAACACTACAATTTGTCCATTCTGTGCAGGGGTGGGCAAAATTCAGTTGTGGACTGGATCTCTCCTGCAGGAGCCTCTGCAGGCTCCCTGCCTGCCCTGCTCCTGCACACTGCTCAGAGCAGCTCGTGGAATGCTGCAAGTCTAGGAGTAAAGGGACGAGGCTTCGCACACTGCCCCTGCCACCAACAAAATCTCACCGCTCCTATTGGCTGCTTCCCTGCCAACGTGAGCTGCCTATTTGCAAGACAGGCAGTGCAAGAAATACCTGCCTCCCTACAGGCTCAGAGGGTGCGTCTAGACTGGCAAGATTTTGCGCAAAAGCAGACGCTTTTGCGCAAAAACTTGCCAGCTGTCTCCACTGGCCGCTTGAATTTGCGCAAGAGCACTGACTTTGTAATGTACAAAATCAGTGCTTCTTGTGCAAATACTTTCATGCTCCCTCTAGGGAAAAAGCCCTCTTGCGCAAGAATACTTGCTCGAGAGGGCCAGTGTAGACAGGGAAGAACTGTTTTGCGTAAAAAAGCCCCGATGGCTAAAATGGCGATGGGGGCTTTCTTGCCCAAAATCGCGTCTAGACTGGCCACGGATGCTTTTGTGCAAAAGCATCCGTGCCAATCTAGACGCGCTTTTGCGGAAATACTTTTAACGGAAAAATGCCAGGCTAGACGCAGCCACAGTGTTCAGAGTCAGCCACACATGGTCCCTACAACCGGTGGAGGGGCATGGAAGGCAGGGACCCTGGCTGAAGAACCGCCTCCTTTCTGCATCCCTACCCCATGTAATCCAAACCCTTTACACCACTACCTCAGACCCTGCACTCCCCTCCTACATTCCTCCTCCAGGTCACAATCAGCACCCAAACCTTGCATCCCAAACTGCTCCCTTGGGTCACACCCCAAATCACTGCATCGCCTCCTGCACTCCTGCCCCAGGTCACAACCCCCTCTTCCAGGGTACAAACCCGCTCCCGGACCCTGCACTCCAGGTTACAACTCCCTCCTTCACCCAAACTCCCTCCCAGATCCCTCACCCCAAGCATGCTTTGGCACACGAACTCCATCCCAGACCCTGCACCTCCTCCATTAATGTCATGGAAGAGTATAGCCCTTGACTACTTACCAATTCCAGGAGTGGCCCCCCCCATACAAAATTATTGCCCATCCCTGACTTTGTGCGTGCGCTCATGCTTCCTTAGAGTAGCAGACACTGTGAAGCAACGGCCACAATAAGCACAGGAGTAGGGTTTTTCCCCAGTATGAATCCGCAGATGGCATTGTAATGTCACCAGCTGGGTGAAACTCCTTCCACACTCCTCACAGTAGAAAGGGCGCTCTCCAGAGTGAATCTGCTGGTGCCTTTTCAACTTGAGCCGCTCAACAAAGGACTTCCCACATTCTTGACATTTATGTGGCTTGTCCTGTCGGTGGATCACCTTGTGTCTGGACAGCAGATTAGGTTTACGGAACCCTTTGCCACACGTCGGACAGATGTAAGGTTTAGAGTCTTCTTCCCCAGACTTTTGATTTTCTGAACACAGATGATCAATGTCCCCATGGCCATGCTTGTCTTGATGCACTGTTGATCCCTGGTTCCTACGCGTACCATTTCCCAAAGCTACCAAGGAGCGCTCAATCTTGTGGACATTGCGTAGGTGCCTCCAGACATCAGCCGTGTGGATGAAACCCTTGTCACACTCCAGACACTTGTGTGGTCTGTCACTAGAATGAATCAGCTTGTGCATTCGCAAGTTCGCAGCGTGGAAGAATTCTTTGCCGCAGATGGGGCATTGGTACGAATACTCTGTCAGGTGTATTTGTTTGTGCATCTGCAATTCGCCCAGATCCTGGAAAGTGGCACAACACTTCTTGCATCTATAAGGCCAAGCTTCTCCAGAAATGGGCTTCAGGTCCTCCTCACCAAAAGTGTCAATAAGAATGATATTTTCATCATCCTCACTTAGCTCTTCCTGAGGTTCCTCAAATGAGCAGAATTCCAGATTCTCATCTTCACATTGCAGATCAAAGTTGGTGCTGGAAGTGACAAAGACCCCAGCTATAGTCTCACCTCTCTTCTGGTAGTAGATCTTACAGGTTTCCTCATCTTCACACTGCAATTCTACAGTGAGTTCTTGCCTACCTGAAGGTTTAGCAGGGCTACAACCAGGACTGAATGGTTGAAAGTTTTTTATATCTGCCTCCAGTTGAAAGCTAGATTTGTGATCCACCAGTTCAGAGGAATGACTGGAGTCGTGTGAATGCTCCTCACCTGTGTCACAAGTGTCATTTTCGGATTCCCAGTCCACCTCCACCTCCATCCTGTAATGTCATATATGGGGCTTATATAGGATTTACTGTGGATGTAAATACACCTTGTTCTTATAGTCCTTCATGATTGGCTCATCTCATTCTGAATCCCAATCACAGCCCTCCTTAGAAAAAAATAGGAGATTATTTTATTAGCTTACTTCACCAGCTCTCACATTAAATAAAGGAAAACAACCATAGCAGAGACCTTTTTCTGCTGAACAGATAATACTGGGAGTTTTTGCTTTAGTTACTATGATCATCAAATGGAACATTTCTGTGTTTCCATAAAGTTCAACCTCCTATTTCAATTGGCCCTTTACTGCAAATTTGAATAATTAAGGTAACAACTTCTGGCTTCTCTAGCCTTAAATAACCCATTAAGAATTCCGGGAATTTTTGTTTTAGAACTTAATAATGTGGATCTATTCACTTCAAATATTTGGTGGTCTAAAATTTGTTTGAGTTCTCCCTTTATTTGGAACATGATCAGTGGATGGCCACACACAATAAAAACAACAACAAAAACCTCACTACTCACCTGCGTCCAAGTGAGAAGCAAAACAACCTCCACCCCACACTCCAGCCCCAGGGGAAGAGCACTGAAGCCCAGGGCTTCCCCCTGCAGCAGCACGAGCCGGCACTCGCACACCAACCCCTGTGGAGAGGGGCACCGAGGCTTGGGGCTTACTGCCTGCTTAATGGAAACTTGTGCAGGCTAGATCAAATTAAACTGGGTCCAGATCCAGCCCACAGGCTGTAGTTTTCCCAGTTTAGAAACAATTCCCACACTTCTCTGAACTCTTCTACATCTAGTCTACTCCATTCTTCTCCACAAGATGCAACTTGATAGAACACAGATCTATTCAGCCTAGTAAGCTTTGCTCCTGAAAAGCTTTTCTCCGCAAATAAACTAAATTAAATCCACCTGATCATTTCATAGTAAATGATCAAGAGTGACAAGCAATCTGCCAGAATACATACTGGGAATGTAAAAAGTCGGTTAAATAGGTAACGGCTGAAAATCTCAGCGTTTACACATGCTGTGGGCTCTGCAGTAAAAAGCAGAGCCTGCAGCGAAGCCTCCCCAGGAGCAGGGCCATCACTCTTGCTGGTCTCAGGAAGCCAGCATGTAACCTGTGGTGGGAGGCCAGGCCACCAAGGACACAGGTTGCTCTGGTTGGCTGGCCAGAGCAGCTCCTGCTTGCAGTGGGCCTGTGGGGCTGGAGCAGCCCCCTCCCTACCTGGGGCAGGAAGCTGCTCCAGCCCCTGCGGTTAATCAGAACCTATTTTGGGTGATGTTTGCCAGTTGGCTGGTTAACCTTTCTTGCGCTAAAGACAGTTGTTGGGAAACTCTAAAACCGTGGTCACCAACCAGTAGATCGTGATCTACCGGTAGATCTCGGAGGCTCTAAGAGTAGCTCTTGAGCCTTCTCTGAACTGCGCGCCTGCGCAGTACATTTACATTAGATTTCCTCATTTGAGGAGCAGCTACTCACTGAGCAACAGCACAGGTGAGTAGCTGCGAGGAATGGTGGGAATTTTTTTTTAAAGTAGCAGTATAAGGATTGGGGATAGCAAGTGATGGAGAGGAGGAGAATAGAGAGGGCGGTGCTTCAAGGAAGGGGCGGGGTGGTAGATCTTGGCTTGGTCTGTCATTTAAAAAGTGATCTTGGGTGTAAAAAGGTTGGAGACCACTGCGTCTAAAACAAGTCTGTCCTCTATTGTCTTTCAGCTTTTACTCCTTGTCAGTGTAAATAGTATAATTTATTAAATGTTTTAATTGCATTAATTCAATATTTAAATCCCTACTAGCCATTTTAATTTTTACATTATTTGGCATATTTCTTTTGCAGCTGACTAAAGTTTCTATATCAGATAGTCTTAACTAAACCTAAGCAAACAATAAACCGCTTTCACCCTTTTAATGTGGACTGGATGGAGATACTTCAAACTCATTCAAGTGAAGATCATAGATTTAACTCTCAAGAAGGGGTTTCTTTACCACACTTGGCTTTGTCAGAAGATGCATATTCATATGTTCTCCTTGCATGTGAAAATATTTAATTTCGTATGAGTTACCATCAGACACTTTATTTCTGACACTGACCACATAACGTATGCAGCAAGTAACCAGGCTGACACTGACCCACTATACATGCATCAGGCAGACCAAATAGCAAACCATGTAACAGTTAGCAGCCGTGTGTGGGGTCAGAACTGAAAGAAATTACAGGAGCTCATTTTGTTCACTCCCAGATCACCAGGGACAAGAAAGCACTGTGATTTCTTTAGCCACTTCGAGCCTTTCATGATAATTTGTATTACTGAAACTCTCCAAGATCTTCCATGCTCTTGGGTAACCTACAGCTGGTCCCATGAGAAAAAATATTTTGGAAAAATAAATAGGGAGAGAAAAGTGTTTTGAACAATAACCAGTCAGGTACAATTACGGAAGACAGCTAAGCTGCAAATAACAAGAAAGAGTTTCCATAGAAAGCTAGCAGACTAAGGAGGAGACAGTTATAGGTGAGGCCCTACCATTTTGGTCAATTTCACAGTCATTGGATTTTAAAAAAAATAATAAATGTCATTATTTCAGCTATTTATACCTGAATTTTCAGAGGGTGTTGTAATTGTGGGGATCCTGACCCAAAAAGGATATGTGTGGGGGGGAGGGGCGGGCAGGGGGATATTGGAAGATTATTGGAGAAGGTGGGGGATTGAGGCGCAGCTACCCTTACTTCTGTGCTGCTGCAGGTGTAGACACTGCCCACAGAGGTAGGCAGATGGAAAGTGGCAGCTACAGGGCAGGATTCCGGCTTTGCATGCAGAGCCTCCACCACCAGCAGCAGCAGCACAGGCAGAGGTAAAAGCAAGTCTGCCCTCGTGTGCAGCTCCAGCAAGTGCTGGCTGACCTGTGGCAAAAGCCAGCAGGTAGCTATTGAAAGAGCTGACAGAGACCTGGGTTGCAATAGAACAGTACCTGTAAGAAATGTTAGGTTACTTTCACCATTGAACACAGGACAGCATAAAATGGTGCCTCCTTTACTTTTGCATTGCTGCCTGTAGAACTAGGCCCTCAAGTCAGCAGCCACCCGTCCAGCCCTGAAGCAACCAGTGTTACAGTAAAGGTGGCCTACTAAGGTATTGCCACCATTACATCTGCACGGCTGCTAGTAGCATCCTGCCAGCCCTACATTTCCATGATGTTTCTTTGTATTGCCTGCCCATTTTCTTATTCCCCCCTATACGTTACCACCCACCTTCTGCCTTATCGCCACATATGTCCAAGGATAACAGCGGGGACACGCCACTGTTTCAGGAAGTGCAGGTGACACGGGATCCTAACGTGCATCACCTCAGGAAGGGCTCTGATGCCCCCCCCGGTGAATGCCGGCAGGACACCCCTGTTCTGGACGCACCGCGAGCACGAGGTCCGGAGGAAACCAGCCCCCGCTGGTCACTCT